GATTTATACTTGATCTCCTGTCTGATTTACTGCCCTATACTAGCTTATCTGAAAGGAGAAATTAACTAGGCAGAGTTTATCATCTATTGAGAGGTAAGGTCTCACTTTGTTCCTCAGGCTGGCCTTGAATTTGTGACCCTCCTTTCTAAGCCTGTGGGTGGTAGGATTGTAGGTGTGTGTTGCCAAGCTCAGCTCTCCTCCAGTATTTGATATTAGCATTTTTCAGTGGGATAAACAAATATCTTTTAGCAGTTGTTGCTCCTTCCTCAGCATTCAAACAATTCAAAGAGAGCATAATAGCATACAGTATCAAGATTCTCTGTGTATTTTCCATCTCTATGCAGCTTTATTTTTAACCTCTATTTCTTTTATTTTTACTTTTACTTTTTGACACAGGTTCTCTGTATATCTTTGTCCTGGAATAACTCTGTAGACCAGGCTGTCCTTGAACTCACAGAGATCTGTCTGTCTTTGCTCCCCAGTGCTGGGATTAAAGGCGTGTGCTACCACACCTTGAACTCCGAGATCCTTCTGTCTCTGCCTCCCAGGCATTGGGATTAAAGGTGTGTGATACCACACCTGAAAGTCACAGAGGTCAATCTCTACCTCTGTCCCTTAAAGTCACAGAGGTCAACATGCCTCTGCCTCCCAGGCATTGGGATTTAAGGTGTGTACCACCACACCTTGAGGTCATAGAGGTCAATCTACCTCTGCCTCCCTTGTGTTGGGATTAAAGGTGTATACCACCACACCCAACTACTCTCTTTCTTCCTTTTTTACCCTAAGAACTTTAACCTTTAGCCTACATATATTTTTAACTCATAGTAAACCATTTAGAGGTTTTCTTCCTCTTTGACTCTCTTTTTACTGTATATCTCTCTTTTTCTGACCACATGAGTCTAAAACCGTGGCTTTGACGGCTAGATCCAGTCCATTCCTTAGCTTTCCAGACTCATGGTAGAGGTACCAGCCAGAGCTGTGTTCACTGCCACAACTCTATGGCGTTTCAAGGTCCTTGCCAGCAAGCTGCAGCATTCTGCTCACAGACCACACTCAGTCGGACTGCCTGCCTAAAAGAGTCAGAGTTTGCCCTGGCAGGACAGCCCAGAAAGCCGGCATTTTAAAACGGCACAGCTTTTTTCCTGCCACAGCTGAAAACCAAAAAGCATGCGTTCAGCTTTTCACCAACACCATTTAAGTGTTTTGTAACAGGACCTTTTAAAAGAGCTGCAAGGTTTTGCAGCTGAAGCTGAGTCAGGAAGCCTCCCTTAGATGAGAGTGCTTGCTTGCCTCTAGCAAACAGAGCAGACCTGAGAAATTGCTGCTACCAAGAAAACATGCTTTACTCTATTCTTTCCCAAGCTTTCTCAAGCTTTCTCAAGCTTTCTGTGGATTCAGTTATCTACTTTGGGTGCCAGGAATGAGCCAAAGTAAATAAGTTGGGGTAGTTTTTAGAAAATACTGTGCTAGAGAATAGTAATGATGATTGGAACTAAGGGAAGCATCGAATATACAACCTGGATGTCTTTATGTGCTGTGAAAGATACAGAAGCGTGTGCCCTCCTGGTTCTAGCTGTTGCCACAAGACCTGTGAACAGCTGTTGCCTGTGTATGTTGTCTCATTCTTCCTGTGCGCTAGCCAGCAAACTTAACTCCTGTACTTCAGGCTTTTGGCATTTCTAAAAGATATCTGAGAGCCAGGTATGGTTGTGTACTTCTATAGTCCTGTCACTTGCTGAGGCAGGAAGATCACTTTGACTTTGAGGCCAGCCTGAATCACCTGATGAAATTCTCAAAATGGGTTGTGGTGAGGAATACTGGAGTGGTGGCTCAATGGTTATGAGTATTTCCTCATCTTCCGGAGGACCCAAGTTTGGTTCTCAGCACCCAAAATGGGTGGCTCATAACTACCTGTAACTAACTCTTCTGGCCTCTGATGGCAGTACATTTATGTGCTCAAGCTGACACAATACATATACACATAATTATTAAAATTTAAAAAAAATACTTATTATGTATACAGTGTTCTGTCTGCATGTACGCCTGCAGGCCAGAAGAGGGCATCAGATTTCATTACAGATGGTGTGAGCCTCCATGTGGTTGCTGGGAATTGAACTCAGACCTCTGGAAGAGCAATCAGTGCTCTTAAACTCTGAACCATCTCTCCAGCCCTACTAAAAAAAAATTATTGGTGTTCTTGGGTTAGAGCTACAACACCGTGCTAACATGCTTGCCTAGCACATACATAGCTCACTGTCTGGTCTACAGAAATGCAAAGATACTAGTAATCTTATTATGGAAGTAATGTGTGATTTAGAACTGATCTTGTCAAAAGTGAAATAATAAATATATCCAGATAACCCTGTCTTCCAATGTTAGAAACTTTTAAAAGTTAATGAAAGTTTTAGAAAAGGAAATTGTATTTTATTTGTAAAAAATTATATTACTGGGGCTGGGAGATGACTCAGTGTTTAAGAGCACTGTCTGCTTCTCCACAGGTCTTATGTTGGATTTGCAGCACCCACATAGTGGCTCACAACCATCTATAGTGGGATCTGATGCCCCCTTCTGGCATGCAGATGTACATGCAGATAGAGCCCTCAATATATAAATAAATAATCTCAGCACCCAGGAAGGCAGAGGCAGGTGGATCTCTGTGAGTTTAAGGCCAGCCTTGTCTACAGAGCAAGTTCCAGGACAGCCAGGGCTACACAGAGAAATCTTGCCTCAAAACCAGCCCTGACTTCTGCTCCTTCCACCAAAAAAGTGTTGGAAACGTTCACTTCTCTCAGTCAAGTTAAAACACTTTTTGTATTTTAATTACATTCCAGTAGCCGAGCTATTCACAAACTTTCCAACTGCACCGTGTCCAGCTGTCCATGTAAAAACAGATTTTATATGTATGTTTTATTTTGAGACAAGGACTTAGGATATAGCCCAACCCAGTCTTGAACTTGTACTCCTCCTGCCTCAACCTGCCTTAATTCTGGCATAATAGGAATGTTCCACAATATCCAGTTCTTGTTCAGTTCTTTAAGTTGTTCTTAGTTTTACAGACTGATAGTCTTTCACTAGGTAAGATAATTTTATTGTTATTTTGTACGTGATTGGAATATTAGCCATAATTACACTAATATTATATTATGAATTTGTGCACATTTTGTTTAGCATCCCCCCTTTTTTGGTTGTTTTGTTTTTTGTTTTTCATGATACAGTTTCTCTGTGTAACAGCCCTGATTGTCCTGGAACTCTCTTTGTAGACCAGGCTGGCCTCGAACTCAGAGATCCACCTGCTTCTGCCTCCTGAGTGCTGGGATTAAGGACACGTGGCATCCGGCTGCTTTTTAGTACCCTTATTAGTATAATTTCAGTGTAAGAGCCCCACAATTCCAGGAGTTCCAGCAGACTATGTTTGGGTATCTGTCTCAGCTTGTGGAAGAGACAGTAATGAATGGCAGAGAAAGATTTTTATTAAGGTGGCCACGATGAGAAAAACAGATAAAAGGGCTTGTTGATACCCAGTCTGTCTTCGGGAGGCTGAGAGGATCTTTGAGATTTTATAGAAAAGCGAAATGGGAGAGCTTGTGGTTTGCATAGGTGACAGAGCTTGTGATCTGGGTCAGGGCATGGGTCTGTTCTGGTTCTGCAAAGGCTTCTAGAGAACTTGTTAGTGATGTCATCACTCTGGGGCAGTCTGTTTGCCATGAGCTGATTTCTCCAGTGCCAGCGTGCAGCCTCACATTATAGGTAATTGCCCTTGTTTGGGAGGTGATCTGTCCTGCCAGGCTTGCTTTTGCTTGGGAGGAGTTTTGGCTTCTTGTCATAAAGATGTTTGCAGATCAGTCTTGTCATTCCTGGAATCCAAGAGAACTGCAGAGGGAGTGAATTAGCAGGAAAAATGTTTAAAAAAATGAAAGAGCCAGAAGGCATATGGTTAGGGACTGGTGCCCTTCATCTTCCTAGTTTAAAACGCCTTTCTAAAATTAATACAGAGTCAAAGTTAATTTAAACAGAGCTAAAGTTATGATCGGGAAAGTCTGAATGTGTTCTACTTCTACAAATATACTTTAAATGTAGTGTGTGTGGGGGAATCCTCTTCTATTTTTTGTTTAAGGCGCGCACTCGCGGTGGGTGTGTGTGTATCAGGAGACGTGACTGGAGAGATGGTTCAGCTTTCAAAAGCCCTGTTGCTCTTCCAGACGGTCTGGATTTGATTCCCATCATCCACATGGCGGATAACAAATATCTGTAACTTCAGTTCCATGGGACCCGATGCCATATTCTGTAGCCCGCCCCAACTAGGCATGTACATAGTGCACAGACATGTATTCAGGCAAAAACACCCACACACTTAAAATTTAAAAACAGATTCCCAAAACCGATGTATAACATATCCATAACTTGCCGTTTTAACAGTTTGCAGAAATGCACCCCACAGTAGAAATCTTGGCGTCACCACTAATTGGTTTTTCAGTCACAAGTTCAGCTGCCCCCGTGCTCACACGGGCGGTCCCTCAACCACACATATGCCTTTGCCTCCGATGCTGCACGCGGTTTCCTTTATCCGTAGAGCGTTCCCCATCTGCTGGCTAAACTTTCCTGTTTTGGGTGATTCCTCAGTTGCCTCTCTTAGGAAGATTCCCCTAGCCTTGTTCTCCCAGAGCTAAGCACCGGTACAGTAAGCAGGTGGGCACCATACCTCCCCAACTCCCCCATCTGGCAGGCGCTTCCCGCAGTTGCCGGAACGTTTTTTTGCGTAGCTCCAGCGCGCTGCGGAGGAATTTTGACAGCGCTCCCTGTCGACGCTTCCGGTGAGGGTCGTCTCCTCAGGGTCTGTGAGTGCACAGCTAGGGGCCTGCGCGGGCAGCACCGAGGCTTTGGAGGTTGGAGTGTGGACCAGAGGGACCTGGAGGAGAGGACCGAGGTGCGATGTCGGGGCTGGCCTCGGGGGGGGGACCTGGAAGGCGAAGGGAGGGGCGTGTGCAGGGGGGCAACTTCCGCCTGCCGAGCCTGGCTGCAGGCCGAGGAAGGTTCTCGCTGCCTGGGCTCTCGCTTACCGCATCCCTCTTTCTGCCAGTGTGACCTGGAGCGAGCGTCCAGCACCAGAGCTGGCCATTTCTGAGAAACACGGGCAGGGATCGCCCTTGTCAGTCATCCTCGTGCCTGGCAGAGTAAGGTGAGGCTGACTCTTGCCAGGTGCCATGCGCGCGGCGGCTTTCGTGTTTGCTGAAAGCGTTTCCAGCCCTTTCGACAGCAAATACTCCCTGGACTCCGTGGATCTACTTTTAGCTTTTCGGGAGGTGGGTGGGTGTGGTGACCGAGATTCCAGGAACTGATTAGTGTATCTGCAGTTTGGGGAGTTTTAACTCTTCCCCATTGTAAGAGTTTTAATTAAGTTGCCCTGTTTAAGAGCCAAATTTTGACCCTTTTAAGAGCCAAAATTGGTACAGTTTTTACCTGTTGGCTTTTATTTTCTCAGAACGTCAAAGAATAATAAAGATATAAATAATAAAAAGTAAATAGTATAATAAAATGTATATAAGCATAAAATGATATATAAAATGTAATAAAAATAATAAAGAAAAATACAAAGTATTATTGATGTGGTGGAACCACATTATAAAAGTTTAAAAGCAAGGTTATGCGAAGCGTGTGTGCACTCGCTCCCTCTTGTCCTGTACTCACCGGCGTACTCCACTAGGCCCATCTAGAGCAAGATTTCCACGTTTAGTATTCGCATTAAGTGCAGAAAACAAGGTGTCAGAATGTTGGAATTTAGTCACTTTATTTACTGCTCGAGTGCATTCACCAGATGGATGGCCCCAAGATAGCGTTGAAATAGCTCATGCTGTGAACTACTGTCCCTTTAGGTGTTCAAGAGATGAAGGCTGGTAAATTGGGATAGAGGGAGACCTAGTGAAATAAAAGATAGGAGATAGGCATCTCCAGAAGCGGGATTATCCTTTATTTCCAGAAGCGGGATTATCCTTTATTCAGAGCAACGGAAGGGTCACCAGGCTCTTTGTGGAAGTGGAGACTGCCCTGTGGCGTCTGGGGCTTGAGAGGGAAAGGGTATATCACGGTGAGGGGTTCAGTGGATCATTTTCTGGCCTTACTTCTGCCCTTGCGGTTTCAGATAGGAACTGTCCGTGTTCGCAGTTACTCTTGGCATGGGGGCTTTTAGGCAAGCATTTGCCAGACAGATATTCTTACCCTTTGTAGGCAAATTGTCAGGTTTTCTGAGGCAAATGAATCTCTTACAGAGATAATAAAAGACTTCTAAATCAAGTGGGAAATAAACAGAATTTAAGTAGTAACATTCGATTGTGGTAGGTTTCATAAAAAAGTCCCTTGGAAGTCGTCTCCAGCCCTCTAACCTATCAACAGATTCTAAATTCCGGAAGTCCGTGTATAGGTTTAGATCTTTAGTGGGCAATTTTTTGGTGTGTGTGTCTTGTTTTGTTTTCTGAGACAGAGTCAGCTATGTACGTCACACATTGTCCTCAAAGTAGAGCTGGGCACACACCTTTAATCCCAGCACTTGGGAGGCAAGAGGCAGACAGATTTCTATGAATTTGAGGCTAACCTGGTGTACATACAGAGTTCCAGGCTAGCAGGGCTACATAGAGAGACCCTGTTTGAACAAAACAAAGTAGAGACCCTCCTGCTTCTGCCTCCTGATGTGGACCAGCTCACTCACCTCAGTTCTGTAGATTAAAAAAAAAGTTTCCAAGCCAAGTACTCATACCAGTAACCTCAGCACTTGAGAGGCTGAGTGAGTTCCCTCCCACCCAGTAGGGCTACATAGTCTTAAAACATTCACCGCATTACCATGACCCCTCCATATGTATGTATATATTTTCTGTTTTTGGTGAATATGTGTTGTGTGTGTATGGTTTATTTGTGTGTACCCTAGAAATTGATGTCTATTGTCTTTGTGTAGTTTTCGCCTTTTTTTTTTTTAAGATTTATTTATTGTGTAGACAGTATTCTGCCTGTATGCATACCTGCAGGCAAGAAGAGGGCATCAAATTTCATTATAGATGGTTGGAATCCACCATGTGGTTGCTGGGAATTGAACTCAGGACCTTTAGAAGAGCAGGCACTGCTCTTAACCACTGAGCCATCTCTCCAGCCCCAGTTTTCACCTTTTTTGAGATAGGGTCTCTTACTGAGCCTGGAGCATGTTGGTTTGCTTGACTGGGTGACCATCAAGATCCACCTCCTCTGCCCAATCCTGCCTCTGTCTCCTAGGGCAGGAATTACAGATATGTCTGTATGTGAGTTGTACTGAGGATAAGAGCTCAAGTCATTGAGTCTGCAGGAACCTTCTTCCCCTTGAGACAGGGTCTCATGCACCCCAAGCTGGCCTTGAACTCACTGAGACCCACCTGCTTCTGTCTTTCGAGATCTGTGATAAAAGGAGTTCATCACTGCCTTGAACTTTGACCCTCCTGTCTCCATTGAGTTACAAACATGTGCCACCTTTCTCAAACTGAGGGCTTTGTGCATACTAGACAGTACTCTCTCAACTGAGCTACATCCCTAGCCTTTTTCTTTTCTGTAGAAACAATGTTATAAAAGGAGGATAAAGTGTTGCTTATAGTTCTCATTACCTTTGTCCTGGTCCATTGGTGTTAGAGGTATGCTTTTGTCCTTATAGGCATGTGGTGGGGAGGGAACCTCCCCCTGCAATCTAATGTCAATTTTCACCTTTTCTTTTTTTTTTTTAAAGATTTATTTATTTATTTATTGCATATACAACATTCCTTCCGTGTAATCTTGCATACCGGAAGAGGGCACCAGATCTTATTATAGATGGCTGTGAGCCACCATGTGGTTGCTGGGAATTGAACTCAGGACCTCTGGAAGAGCAGTCAGTGCTCTTAACCTCTGAGCCATCTCTCCAGCCCTCTTTTTTTTTTTTTTAAGATTTATTTATTTATTACATATACAGTGTTCTGCTTGCATGTATGCCTGCAGGCCAGAAGAGGGTACCGGATCTCATTACAGATGGTTGTGAGCCACCATGTAGTTGCTGGGAATTGAACTCAGGACCTCTGGAAGAGCAACCAGTGCTCTTAACCTCTGAGCCATCTCTCCAGTGCCCCTCCCCCTTTTTGTGATTGCATCTCATTTTGTAGCCAGGCTAACCTGGAGCTCATTGTGTAGGCCACACTGGTCTTAGACTTGCTGCTATCCTCCAGCCGAGATTATACTTGTGAGCTATCATCATCATCAGCAATTTTGTCTTTAATTATTAAGGAAATAGATGTAATGTGAATATATATATATATATATATATATATATATATATATATATAAAACTAAAAAGCAGAAGAGTCCAACTAATCTTAATTCTATCATGCAGATGAAATCATTTGTAATACTTACTATGTAGAGCAGACTGGCCCTTAAAATCATAGATCTTTGTTTCTGTCTGTGGAGTGCAGTGTTGAGATTAAAGGCATACACTACCATGCCCAACTAATGCTTATTGAATGATCAAAAAATTCCTTTTATATTTTTTCCTTTAATAGTTGAGATCATATTCCATACGTAATTTTGTGTCTCATTGAACTATGAGTTATAGCATTTACCTATTTATAAACGATAAATTTCTATTCTCCCACCCTGCCCCGAGACAGTGTAGCCCTGGTTGTCCTAGAACTGGATCTGTAGAACAGGCTGGTCTCAGACTCAGAGATCTGCCTGCCTCTGTCTGGGATTAAAGGCGTATACCATCCCTGACTGGCTGATAAATTTCATTTTGCTTGAGAATTTTTTTTTTCCTGTTTTTTTGGGACAGGGTTTCTCTATGTAACAGCCCTAGCAGTCCTGGAACTAGTAGCGCTTGTAGACCAGGCTGGCCTCACACTCACAGAGATCCGCTTGTCCCCTGAGTGCTGGGAGTAAAGCTATGTGCCACCACCACCTGGATACATTTCATTCTAAAACATGTAGTCCTGAGACAATTCAAGCTTACAAAAAGGAGAGAAAGAATAATGAATTGGTCTCTCAGCTATAATAATTGTTGGTTATGGTTAGTCTTATTCTTATTTCTTAGAATTCTTGTCCAGTGACATGTTCATGAAGCAGTTTTTATTTTTTTACATGTTTCAAATTTTTTTTTCCTTTTTTTTTGGTTTTTGCTTTTTTGTTTTTGTTTTTCGAGACAGGGTTTCTCTGTACCTTTGGAGCCTCTCCTGGAACTAGCTCTTGTAGAGTAGGCTGACTTCGAACTCACAGAGATCCACCTGCCTCTGCCTTCTGAGCTCTGGGATTAAAGGCGTGCCGCCACCACTGCCTGGCTAAAATGTTTTCTTATATTCTGATATCCTTAACTATCACATAATTAGATTCATTTTGTAATAACTGTTTTTAGAAAACGTCTGATCCAATGGTTTGTTTACAGTGTTGAATAAGCACATATTATACAAGCATGGATGAAGAGCCTGAGAGAACTAAGCGGTGGGAAGGAGGCTACGAGAGGACCTGGTAGGTGGTGTGTAACTGTCGCGTGTTGTAGACATCGTCGCTTTCCCTTCAGCTTCAGTTTACATGCACTTCATGTAGAATCGATGGATTATACATGGTAGACTCTTTTGTGTAGCTTCTGCCATAAACTATTAGAACATTTTAATCACAGAAAAGTCCCTTTGGACTCACTCCGTTTCCACAGCCTATAGACACCTGTGAATCTATGACCTATAGACTCACCTTTCTTGTACGTTTTATATTAATTTCAAAACTCATTCTTGTGTATGTTTCTTTGTAATTGCTGTATAGTATCCCATGTACTGTTCTGCTACGTTTTTGTTTATACATTCAGCATTTGATGGACATTTAGATCAGTTCCAGCTTTTGGCTATTGTGGATTGTACTGTTACAAAATTATATATATACATTTTTACACATTTTACTTTTGGGGGGTTAGTACTTTTAGCTTATCTTTTCAAACCAATAAATATCGACTACAGGGAAATTCTTAAAGAAGATGAAAGCGGATCACTTAAAGCCACAATAGAAGACATTCTCTTCAAGGCGAAGAGGAAAAGGTATGAGATGCTTCTGTGAGAGAGTTACAGGAGGGGAGATAGGTTCCTGAGCCTTCCTGTCTCGCTCCAGCCTTCCTTAACCCTTCCTTTCAACTGTGTGCTCATTCATAGTTGTCTGACCAGGGTGAAGAACTAGCAACTAGCCCTGCCCCCAGGAAAGTAGTGTTCAGAAACTGTCCATGTGTATTCCAAATTTAATAATTCACTAGAAGGTACAGATTAGTTGTTTTATTGGTTTTTTGGTAGCGTACGGTGTTGAAATGAAGTGTTTTTTATGATTTTAACAGAGTGTTTGAGCACCATGGACAAGTCCGACTTGGAATGGTATGTTATGATTTTTTTCCTTGACTTGTGCAGAACTAGTTTGGATCAGAGGAATATTCTGACTTGATAGAATAAATGGTAAAACAACTACTTCTTAAAAATATATTTAAAATACATGGGATATGTGAATATTAAATGATATTTTTGCTTCTCAAAAATGTACTTGGGAATTTCATTTGTATTTGGTAGATGCGCCACCTTTATGTGGTAGTAGACGGTTCGAGAACAATGGAGGATCAAGATTTAAAGCCCAATAGGCTGACTTGCACTTTAAAGGTAGAGTAAAAACATTTAAATCTGTGCTAAGTGTAGGGAAAGCATTTACATATACACACACATGTTTATATGTTTAAGAATGTAGGAAATGTTGTTTTGCTTTGTTTTTCCAACTACCAAATGTTAACTATGTAGAAATGCTGCTAGATCATTTTCTAAAGTGATTTTTTTTACCCCAAGAACTAGTCTATAAATGCGTTTTGAATTCTCCAACAATTTTTAAAACTTACGTATGTACATTGGTGTTTTGTCTACATGTATATGTGTGTCAGATCCTCTGGACCTGGAGTTACAGACAGGTGTAAGCTGACATGTTGGTGCTGGAAATTGAACCCAGGTCCTCTGTCTGGAAAAACAAAATAAAAACAAGATCGAAAAAACAAAACAAAATAAAAGACTTGAATAAGTAATTGCTTTAGTTTATTATTTCCCTAAATCACTGATTCTTAACTTTCCTAATGGTCTTAGGTGACCTCTGTGAAGCGTCATTTGCCCCCAGACAAGTCGCAGCCCTCAGGTTGAGAACCGCCTTCTTGAAGCTAGTTATTCCGTGCCTCCCCAAGTGATTTTCATTCTCCTTTGACTTTCGAATCTGTGTTTTCAATTAACAGATTAGATTAACAATATTCTAACTTATTTGTTTAGGTTTTTCCAGACAGAGTTTCTGTGTGGTCCTGGCTGTCCTAGAACTAATTATGTAGAACAGACTCAGAGATCTGTTAGCCAGGGGTGCACAGTGAAACACTGTCTCACCAACACCTTGTATCTCTTAAAAGAAGTGATGCTTAATAAATAGAATCTACAGAATATTGAAATGTTCTTTATTGTTGTTATTTTGCCTTTATATAATACTTCCTTTTAATTTTCTTTTAACAGTTGTTGGAATACTTTGTAGAAGAATATTTCGATCAAAATCCTATTAGTCAGGTATGTAGATAAATGGTAGAATTCAAAACTAGATCCCCTGCTGCCAAATATAGTTTATTTTAAGAAGATGAAGGGGTGCTGGAGAGATGGCTCAGTGGTTAAGAGCATTGCCTGCTCTTCCAAAAGTCCTGAGTTCAATTCCCAGCAACCACATGGTGGCTCACAACCATCTGTAATGAGGTCCGGTGCCCTCTTCTGGCCTGCAGACATACACACAGACAGGATATTGTACACATAGTAAACAAACAAACAAACAAATAAATAAAAAGAAGATGAGGCATATATTGTATGAGATATTAAGGAAACCAGATCCTGTACCTGTTTTTGGTGTACTTGATAATGAAGAGCAAGCTAGCTCAGGGTTAGACATGTGCTGGGTTAATAGTGTGTAGTCAGTTCATAGCCAGATTGTCAGAAACACCATGAGGAAAAAGTTCATGTGTGTTCCTTATTTCTTTTGCAATTACTAATTGATAGTTCATGTACTTCTTTATGAAGAGGAAATAATTTGTTATATTAAAATAATTTTTTTTGTTTTCATTTTGAGATTGGAATAATTATAACTAAGAGTAAAAGAGCTGAAAAACTGACTGAACTCTCAGGTATGTATAAAAGTATCTTTACAAGGCTCAAGGACTTTCTTACCTAACTCTGTAATCTTCCCGTGTGGCTTGCTGATAAAGTGAAACTTTCCTCTATGCATTTAGGTGAACAACTTACTGTCTTTTTTTTTTTTTAAAAAAATTTGGGGAAATTTTATTTTATTTTTTTTAATATTTATTTATTATGTATACAATATTCTTTCTGTGTGTATTCCTGAAGACCAGAAGAGGGCACCAGACCTCATTACAGATGGTTGTGAGCCACCATGTGGTTGCTGGGAATTGAACTCAGGACCTTTAGAAGAGCAGGCAATGCTCTTAACCACTGAGCCATCTCCCCAGCCTCTAACTTACTGTCTTTTTATTGAACTCTGGGACTTAGTGTTAATTGTTTCAAATTGAGTTCTGAAGTGTTGGATGATTGCATTGAAATACACATTCTTATCCTGAAAATAATAAGAGAGTCTAATTGTTAACAGTTCATAGAATTAATATAATGTTGAAATTAAATGCCTAATTAAGAAAGCAAAAATTATAAAAATTGAATTGGGCTGTTTATGAATAGCTATAGAATTGGCTCAGAGCACTTGTTCATACAGGGGATCTGGTCCTCAGCATTCACACAGGGACTCCCAACTGTTACTCCTGTTCCAGGGGATCTGACACCCTTTTTTGACCACATGTGCAGGCGAAACTGTCATACACATAAGCAAATAAATAAAAATTTAAAAAATAGTGGCAGTTTCTTTTGCATTTATTACATATGCTGTTACAAATTTGTATCACAGTTTTTTGTAAAATATACTATCCCGTAAATTAGGTTCTCAGTCTTTTCTGTTAGTAGTACACATAAGGGAGATGGCATATTTTGTTCACTAATAGTTCTTCCTCTAGCCACAAGGAATCAAGTATACATTTGCGAAAAGTGTGCCAGGAAGTCAGTTGACAATAATCCCCACTAAATAGTCCTAGAGAATGTTAGGGATGTAGCTTAATAAATAAGGCCCTGGGTTTGAATACCAATACCATAAGAAGCAAAACCAGGGGCAGGAGAGATGGCTTAGTAGTTAAGAGCATTGGCTGCTCTTCCATAGGATCCAAGTTCAATTGCTAGCACCTACATTGGCCCATAATCATCTGTAACTCCAGTTCTTGCAGATGTGATGTCATCTTCTGGTTTGTAGGGACACCAGGCACACACATGGTACATAGATATATGTGCAGCCAAAACAGCCATTCACTTGAAAAAAAAAACCAAAAATGCAAACCAACTCAAAGTAATTTCACTGCAAAAAGGGAATTGGCATATATTCAAAAGTGGACTGATTTCTCATGTAACTGGTTCTAGGGACCCCGACTTTGTCTGACTTTATTCCCTTAAGAAAAATGTTTTTTAATAACTCTAAATTTGTGTGGCCAGTGTAGTCCATAGCTTCAGTGTAACTTCAGTAGGATTCCTATTGGCCTTACTCCTGGTTTGTGTATCTAACATCTGTTTGAGTGGCCAGGGAGATGAAATGTTTTATTCGTTGGCTTAGATTACATGCTGTGCCCAAACAGAATGGGAGGTCAGCATCATGGACTCAATAGGATTATCATGTGATTGAGGAAGAAGTGTTCCTCTAAGGAAGAAGATAAGTCAACTTTCTTTTCTTTCTCTCCTGGCTTCATGTTCAAAGCAGTATTCTATAGATGCCATGAATGCACATGTTGAAAGATGAAGTATCCTTTAGAGATCATAATAAGCCTCCTGGACAGCTTCTCCCCTTACAGTCAGACCATTGCTGTAAGCCACAGTGACACTGAGGGGCTCTGCATTTCCCCTGTGCCAACCACACAGTGAATTCATTAATATATTGTGTGGGATGGTAGTGGGGACAGGTTTGGGTGTTGTTGGTACTCCTACTGCTAGGTAGCTCTGTGTCTTTCAACACATCATTTCACCTGTTTGAATTTGTTAGAAAATGAAAGTAAACAGTTTGTACGAGAAAAAACCAAAACCATTTAAAAAATAAGCCAGGTGTTATGCAAACCTGTATTCCCAATACTCAGGAGACTGAGACAGAAGAATTACAAGTTCCGGGCCACCCTGGATTAGTGAGTTTGAAGTTCTCCTGAGCTATGTAATAGGATCTAGTCTCAGGTCCTTAACACACAGCAAAGCAAAACAGGAAAAGTGGAAAAGCCTAGCAGTTACCTGTGAGTTGGCTAAGGTGGTGTCTTGGTGCTGTCTGTCAACTGCTGTAGAGTCATTGGCAGGGCACAGACAGTCTCTACAGATAGTCTTACAACCCTCTCAGATGTTACAGAAAGCAATGCGGTTGCTTATTGGTTGAATCCTCCTTATGTAGGTCTTTGTGAAAGCTTGTTTTCTTCCCCCAAGAAAAATAAGGAATTCTGATATTTTTATATGAATATTTACTTAACTGATATAAATTTATATCTCCTTGGTCTCTTTGATCATCTACATAAAAATTAATCTTTTATGTCAATAATCTTTCTAGAAACTTTTTTTACTGTTGTTTTTTGACACTATGAAGCCTAGACTGGCCTAGAACCTGCAATCCTCCTGCTTTCAGAGATGCTTAAATATGAAAATACTGATCTTACAAATGATAAAATATAGGGATACTAAGAATAAAAACAAGTCAGGCAGTGGTGGTGCATGCCTTTAATCCCAGCACGCAGGAGGCAGAAGCAGGGGGATCTCTGAGTTTGAGGCAGGCCTGGTCTACAGAGCTAGTTCCAGGACAGCTAGTGCTATACAGAAAAACCCTGTCTTGAAAAACCAAAAAAAAAAGGAAAAAGAGAAAAAAGAGTAAAAAGTATTCACTCTAGGTTAATATTAATTTTAAATGTGTATTTATATATAGCAAAATATATAGTAATATATGTGAATAAATAATACATATATATACACATATTATTTTCAGTATGAAACAAGACTGTCTACCAGATATCTCTGATAAAAATGCAAACTGATAGAAATTGAATGCGTTCTGTTCTTTAAAATCATAAATTTGTAGTTTGGAAACAACATGCTTTTCTATATTTACTTATAGAATTTTATTGAAAGTTATTTCATTTTACTTTAGGAAACCCAAGGAAACACATAACATCTTTGAAGAAAGCTGTAGATATGACCTGCAGTGGAGAACCATCTCTCTACAATTCCTTAAGCATGGCTATGCAAACCCTGAAGTTAGTATTTTAAAATTTACTTATTTTGTTTTTGATTATGTGTCTCTGTGTGTGTATGTATGTGTGTACATGAGTACAGCAGGCCAGAAGAGAGTGACAGATCAGCATTTGTGACCTGCCCAACATGGCTGCTGAGACTTGAGCTTTGTGCCTCTGCAGGAACAGATCTTCTTGTAGTTGCTGAACTGTTTCTCCAGGCCCCATTTCTTTGTTTCTTCCTTCCTTTTCTGCTCCTTATCTTCGCCTTTCCCTTCTTCTTCCCCCTCCCTCCCTCCCCCCCC